TTTGAAGTCGGTAGAAAAGTGAGAGGGTGATGGATATTATTCCATCTCGCTTGCACGATAGAAAGGGGGTCGTGACGTAAAAATCTTACACTTTTTCTCGCCTAGTCCCCATCCGTCATATTCGTACCGTGCGATAAGGTACTTAGTTCCAAAAATGCAGGTAGGTTATGATTGAGGACAAAGATAGAACGTGACGTTTTTTCGGTTCTCTATTTTACCATATGAAACGCAATAAGTTTTAAGACATCTCTATAGGTTGCCTCTACAGTGGATATTTGCCACGGTTGGCACCTTTGGAAGACGTGTTGGCTACCGAATTATTTATATTTAGTTATTATTAGCAAGATACTGCTGCCCATCTCGTTTTCTAGTGACTTCATAATTTACCGACTTCATAAAGGAGACGGTACTCAATTCGACTATATGTTTGTTGCCTCATAACTTTTTACTGGGTGAACCCATTTCGATGATTCTTTATTTATTTGAAAGCTGGTGCTTCAAATGTTGTCCCATATAAACTTGATCAAGGTCTGGCCAATAGTTTTTGAGTTATTCTTAATAGTTTATGGGCGATATGGTGTAATGGATATTCCTAAACCACCACTGCACGATCGGCAGATCCCCATGACCTTAGTTTAATCTCTGATAACCGCTCTTCGGTCTGCCAACACAATATCTTGAACTTTTTACGTTATCTTCGTGAGGGACTTTCTTCTTTCGTCGAGTTGGACGGCCGTCACGATTTTCATATTTGGTGGATGTTCTGTCCAGTTTAAGCTCCTTGGGCCAGCGTATAACTGTGGAATAGGTAGGAGTAGTGTCCTTCAGTTTTTCTATCAAATTAGCGTGTATAACTTGGTAAGACATTTTGCTCGAAAGAGTTACTTGATGACTCATCAAGATCACATTGCATTATTTTCTTTAACACTTCGACTGCTGATGTTCAAATATATCTCCCAGGAATGATGACCTATTTAAATTTACTCTTTTTCTCACCATGTGTCATTGAGAGACTTTCTCACCACGAGTCATTGAGGATGTTGAGTTCTTCTAGGACTGAATAAAATTATTTTTACCGATTTTATTACGTTTAATTTTACTTATTTTTAATTCTAGATGTTTCGAATGCTTTATAATACTCATGGTTACGGGGAGACTCTTATTCCATGTGTAGGGTTTGCGTAAATATAAAAAAATAATTATTTTAAAATTTTTAGGTGTATTACAAATTACAAATACCCGATTGTGGCGGCGCTGTCGTCGCGCCACAAGCGATACACTTCGAAGCCTAAATCGCGCTAACAAAGTTCCGAATTTAAAGCAATATATATATATATATATATATATATTGAATAGCTCCGAACTACCAATCGGAGCGTTGGCCGCTCCCCGGGCAGAACACCTTGCCTGACGGGAAATCTCCCCTTTTCCCTTTTCCTTTTCCTTCCACCTGCCACACGATACTATTACTGTTAGAGAACCCCTAGTCCACAGAGCCTTTTAAGACCATGGTCGGGTCGTAGCAGCACCAAATGCTTCGGGTCAAAAAAAGTAAAAAAAAAATTAAAAATTCCTTATGAACTTTTATTACTAATATTTAGGTATTACAGTTAGATTCATCATCATCATCATCATCATCATTACAGCCCTTCACAAGTCCACTGCTGAACATAGGCCTCCCCCAAAGAATGCCACAAAGCACGGTCCTGAGCCACATGCATCCATCGACTTCCTGCATATCTTACCAGGTCGTCACTCCATCTATTGGGGGGACGCCCTACACTTCGCCTGCCGGTACGAGGCTGTCACTCGAGAACCTTTCTTCCCCATCGGTTGTCGGTTCTTCGAACTATATGGCCGGCCCATTGCCACTTCAGCTTACTAATCCGTTGGGCTATGTCGGTTAGATACTAGTCGTCTAAATTACAGTTAGATTACACAATAATAATTTAATTAATAGAATCAGGCGTTACTTTGCGGAAATCCATTATATTAAAGTTGGTAAAAATTACTTCACGTACATCCGCTCGATAAAATAAAATGATGTGTCTTACCTAGTTTGAAGAGCACCTTCCGCCCTCCCTCAATTGCGTGCACTATCCTTAGTATTTACCGCTTACTTCTTACTTTGGGAAGTCACCGCAGAGTCTACATCATCTGAAGATGTCGAAACACGTGTCGTATTGTCGTCAGTGTTGTGTCTTTCCTAGTGTAGTAGTGTTTTGAGTAGCGGTGCTGGGATTAGTGGTGACGGGGATAGTGCACGCAATTGAGGGAGGGCGGTAGGTGCTCTTCAAACTAGGTAAGACAACATCATTTTATTTTATCGAGCGGATAACTTCAGTAATAATTTTTCGTGACGTCTTCGTGGCGCAGTGGATTAGCATCGAGTTGCGACGCTGATGCCCACGGGTTCGAATCCCACGGAACAGGAATTTGTATGACCTACAAATAACTTTTCCAGGGCTAGATGTTTGTCTTTGTGCAATTTATGTTTGTAAACTGCCTACATAGGATAGGGATCCTCCATAGGAGGATACAGGAGAAGATCCTAGTGTGGGGGTACCGCTAAAAAAATTAGAAACTAATGCGTTTTTATACGAATTAATTTGATTGTGCGAAAAATATAAGGGTATGAACTTGCGTGTCCCATATACTATTATAAGGAAAACATAGTCCTGATCGCACATTAGTAAGTGCATTGCTTAGTAAAGTTATTTTCGTCACTCCCAAGGTCCCAAACATCGATCGTAAATGATTATATTGAGGAAAGATTTTTTTTATCCGAGTATGTGGGACAAACGAGCACATAATCCACCTGATGGTAAGTGCACGCTGTGGCCCATAAACATCTAACTTCGACTAATCAGAATGTCGATGCGTTGTCACCCCTGAGGAATAAGATGGAATGTCTCGTTTCCATTAAAAATGTTCTCCGGTTCTCTACACTCATCATACTATATACAGCAGCATTAAGCTACTAATTCACGCTGGTATTCTGTGAGAATGTGGTCCATTCCCGGTCGAGACAATCCATTTGTGCTACAAACGTAATATACTTATATGTAGAATCGCTCGAATACGTAAAAAATATTCTTGAATGAAATATTTACAAAAACAACTTTTCATTTGCCTAATTATATTTCAAAAAGTTTAGAGTTTGTTTTTGTTAATGGTATCTCTTGATAGAATTCTTGCTAACTCATTTGATAATTTGAATTGTAATTGGCTTCATCCGTTTATTCATTCTTCATTACTTCGTCTCAATGAAAAAAAAATAGTCAATAAATGACCTATAGCGGCCTTAGATAGTTACAATTTTTTTTACGTCGAGCATATTTCGATATAGCGCAGGTAATACACTTTTAAGTGTTTATTTAATACGTATTCACTGGTAAAGGAAAACATCGCGTGGAATTGGAATGCGGCATGTCTAAAAGATTAAGAAAAATATTTCTGAGACATTTGAAATTCACTAATACCCAATGGGCATAGTGCGGTGGTCCCTTTCCTGATTTAAAACCCTCTCAGAAATGATGGGAGGCCTGTATCGACCTGTGGAACGTAAGATGTTACGTTACTTTTACATAATATAATCTTTTAAATTTTACATATAATTTAAAAATGTATATTGTTACATAGAATTCCAATTGGTTTATTTAGGTCTCTTAAATATTTGCTTGTCGGAACTAGCGGGAATACGTCACGAAAGGTTAGTTGTTAAAAATATTAAAAGTGTGAGAGCGGATGTTCAACTTGCTCTCATGCTTACTCAGTTAATGATTAGTGGCATTAAAACGGCGTAACTGCACTATACAATCAGGCAATTTCATTTCGATCATACTATATTATGAACTCGTCACAATTACTCACTGGTGTAACGTGAAGGACATAATTACATGATAAAGTATGCAGACCAACAACAACACTACCCATTCCAATGTAACACGGAACAGTCTCTCAGCAACACCATCCTCCTTGCCTGCACCAGACATAACACGACTCTATCTTAGCATGCGTAGAATGACTTCACTCATAAAATTACTCAAAAAGAATTTTCTTTTGCGTCCAATGCAAGGCTACCCTCCGGAAGTGCGGGAGGAGGCGGTGAATGCTCGTAGCATACCACGCAGCCGACTGCGTGGTTATGTGGGACTCACTATGAAGTGCCTACCCACTAAATACCACCTGTGGGGCTGGCTTTGGCCTGTATGGCCTTTCTGTCGAATTGGAAGCATCTCACTTTAGAGAAAGGGGGCGCAGGCCTCTCGCGCTCTGCACCTACACTGAATCTTATACTGCACAAACGAGTGGGGAAGTGGGGGGGGGGGGGAGTTTATCAAAATACCCTCAATTCCAACTCGCCATCATCGATATGACTCTCCAGTAGAGTGACGCAACCTCTCGCTCACTCTCGATCCAACCGGTATTTTATAGACGCGCCTACATGCTATTTAATTTGTCTAATTTTTATGTTTATTTACAACTAGCTGACCCTTGCCCACTTTGCTGGCCGTCAAACATTTTCACTTTTGATGAAATTATCTTGTGTTGTTCTTAGTACTGAGTGCTTAGGATTTATTTTCCCTGAATCGATTTATAAATATTGTTATTTCATATTAAAAAATATTTTATAATTATTCATATATATAATTTATTCATATAATTATTCATCACAATGAAATATAGCCTATATCACTCAAGAATAATGTAGCTTTCTACTGGTGAAATAATTTTTTAAATCGATTCAGTAGTTCCAGAGATTACTTCCTACAAACTAATTCACAAACTTACAAACTTTACCTCTTTATAATATTAGTATAGATAGTACATTGTTGTGGAAGAGCGAGTACTCTCCTACAAATATCTATTTACTTAGTAGAAGGTCTCAACATTGTCCTATAGATGTAAGGAAGAAATGAATAAACACCTTTATTATTATTATTGTTACTTTTTATTTTACTATATGTCTTATTGGACAGAGGACATCACGGTCCATGATGTTGAGCCCGAAGATACAGCGCCACATCCGCGTCAACGACATTCAGCTAATTGCTCTCTCCGAAAGAGCACAGTACGATCATTCACAGGTGAGTGCAATTGCGAAACTAATTTTTAAATCCATTTCTCCACCTGATTCCTATTAGAATAGTAAAAAAATGCCTTATAAATATTCCGAAACATCTTTTAATCATTCAACCAGGTTATCCAAATTAGACGCATTATGCAGCATATGAATTTTGCTTACTAGAAAAACGGATTAAAAAATAAACATTGTTTTAATATACTAACCATATGCTACTGACAAAAATGGAATGCCACAAAACATTGTGTGGCCCCGTGGTGTGGCCTATGTTCTTTGTTCAGCCGTAAGATTTGAGAAGGGCTGCAATGAGGATGATGATGATGATGATTAAACTGGAAATATCCATTTTTTTATTATTATATATTATTTTTATTATATTATATATTATACTTAATAATTTAATTATATTATATACTGTGTATAAGCAAAAGTGAACACTTATGGAATCAAATTCTCGATGCCGTTATGTCAGTCACAGACGTTTTTCCCAAAGACCACTTCAAGATGTTTAAATTAATTAACTAAAATCCTCGTAAAATACAAAAATCATGTGTCTTACCTAGTTTGAAGAGCACCTCCCTCAATTTTGTGCATTATTACCGTCACCAGTAATTACAGCATGGCTAACCCCAACACAACTACACTAGGAAACGAACATCACCGTTGATAATACGACACGTGTTTCGCCTCTAAACGGCATCATCAGGAGAAATAGACTGCGATGTCTGACCTCTACTTAGGATTGTGAGCCGTGGGTGAGAGGTTAAAGATTCCAATCTTCGATATAAAGGGTTGGTAATAAAATAGGACGTTCATACATCGACTTAAAATTCATCGTTTGAATACCTATCACGTAAAAGCTTTTTTTAAATTGGATAAGGGTGACAAACGAGCACACACGCCATCTATTGGTAAGTTGTTGCTGTGGCCCATAGACATCTACATCCATCCTCAACTACGAATCGAAATGCAGATGCGTTATCACCCGTGAGGACTAAGATAGAATGCCTAATTCCCAGTAAAAAGGGTCTCCGGTTTTCTACACTCACCATACGAAACACAGCAGCGAGAAGCTGCTATTTTACTCTGGTATTCTGTGCGAGCGTGGTCCTTCCCCGGTCGAACCAAACCCATTCGTGCTAAAACTATACTACTGATATAGCTGTAGCATGGCTCTACCAGCTTTATGAAGTGTCATTTAAAAATGTATAACTGTGATGTGAAAACTGTATATCTCGCACTTTTGGTGGTAGGCATTCCCCATCAAACCCCATCAGTCTGAGTATTTTATACCTGGTATAAGAGATAATGACTGTCATTTACCATCTCAAAATGAAAAGCTAGATGTCATTACATTTTAGCCAGAGACGTTTATATACAGGTCTTCACAAGTTTACTGTTGAACATAGAATCCAAGGATTGCTACAAAGCACGGTTCCCGAACCACATGCATTTTTTTACATGATAAGGGTAACAAACGAATAAACATCCTACCTGATGTTAAGTGGATGCTGTGGCCCATAGACGTCTACATCTATCCTCCATTACGAATCAAAATGCAGATGCGTTGTCAATCGTGAGGACTAAGATGGAATGCCTAGTTTCCAGTAAAAATGGTCTCCGGTTCTCTACAATTACTATACGAAACACAGTAGCATTGAGCTGCTATTTTGCGTTAGTATTCTGTGAGAGCGTGGTGCTTCCCCGGTCGAGCCATCCATTAGATCTGCAGCCATAATATAGCTACAGCATAACTCTAGCACGTATAAAATCGTCCATCGATTTTCATCGAAATTTATCCATCGACTCCCTGCATATTTCGTCGTCACTCCGACTAGTGGTTGGCCTGCCCTATACTTCGTTTACCGGTACGAGGCTGCCACTTGAGACTCATTTTCCACGTCGATTGTCGGTTCCTCGAGCAATATGACTGCCCCATTGCCACTTCAGCTTACTGATCCGTTGGTCTATGTCAGGTACTTTAGTTCTACTGCGGATATTCTAACTTTTATTTGATAAAAAATAAGTGAAAATTATTAGCTCACGCTGTAACACTAAAAAAAAAGGATAGAGCGAATGGAATTAATTGTTAATTCCATTTGATCTAACCGTTTTAATATCATTTTAACATAGTATACCTATATGTTACCAGTTGTAATAATTAATAATAGTAAGAAACGAGTTAAGAAAAACTTAAAAAAAAAACCGCCTTGATCGTAAGCTGAGACAATCCTGATATTTATTATATTTTATCCTGATGGTCCTCTCTCTCTCTCTCTCTCTCTCTCTCTCTCTCTCTCTCTCTCTTATTATTTTTTATTATTTTATTTATTAGATTTCACAAGGACAAACATCCAGATCCAGAACAATTACTTGTAGGCCATACAAATACTTGTTCCGTGCGAGATTCGAAGCCATCATCGCTAAGCCACTGCGTCACGGAGCCGTCTCTTTCTCGTTTTCTAAAACGTCCTGATCAGGATATTAGGATAAAGTTATTTAAATTATTGTATCGTGATCGGTCCTCGACACGAGTACAAATATAAAGTCAATCGGCTATCTATAAGTTGTTGTAAATTACATTAAAAGATTCACTTACATAGATAGATAGAAAAAATGTTGCATTTATGAATGGGTTGGCTCGAACGGAGAAAGAACTCTTACAGAACATCAGCGAAAAAAGCAACATTAATGGTGTCTCCGTATAGGAAGTGTAGATAACCGGAGACCCTTTTCATCGGTATTAAGGCATTCTATCTAAGTACTCAGGGGTGAGCAGCGCATCTACATTTGTTTCTTATTGGAGAATAAATGTAGATGTCTATGGGCCAGAGCTTACACTTACCTTCAGGTGGAATGTGTGGTCATCAGTTATCATTTTTTCTATAAAACAATAATTAAGTACAATTTTACTTTTTAAACTGTGTATTGGCAGATTAAGAAGGTCTACTTCGCCATATCGTCCCGTGGGTGTCGTAAGAGGCGACGGAAGGAAATTGTAACAGGAGATGGGCAGCAACATCTTCCTGATAACAATTAAAAATAATAAAGAACTACGGTTGCCGACGCGCCCGTCAAGCGTATGGCAAAATCATCCCTACGAGGCATTATATGAGGTAGGCCTACATTCAACAGTCGCCTTTTACAACACCCACGAAACGAATTGGGATGTTGGTTTTGGTTGCGACTCTACCACGTGGCACGCATACAGTGTACATATAGTACATTACACGTGATGGGATCGTTACCATGCTGGTTCTATTAAAATTAATTTGAAAATTGTACAAACAAAATTATTGTAAAATGAAATGTGTTTAAACAAAAAGTCCCGCTGGGTTTCTTGTTGGTTCGTCAAAGGGCAGAGTAATTTTCTAATCAGTGGTAAATTAAAAAAAAATGACTTTCAATAAGTATTATGTAATAATCTATATTGAACAAAAATCGTTATATTTTCTATTCTTCAGTACGAAATATTAAAAAAGCAATAACACTTCTGTCCAGGCGGGCTACCTCCACAAACGAAGCTCGGACAACACGAAATGGCAACTACGTTGGTTCGTCCTCTACCAGAACCTGCTGTTCTACTACGAGTCGGAGAACAACACACGACCCACCGGCGTGCTTCTTCTAGAAGGTTCTTATTGCGAGCGGCTGAGCAAATCACCTATGGAGCGAAACGCTTCTGTAAGTACAAGTCTTCTTAATTTAGAACTTATATATGTCCTGTTTTTATTGTATTGTTTTCTTCTTCTTTTTTGTTTGCCTTTTTCCTGTTTTTTTTTTACTATTGTTCACTTATTGATATGGTCACTTATACATTTATTTATTTTTATTTTATTTATTTAAAAGGACAACCAAAAAGACGAACACTAATACATGGAATTAAAATAACATGAATATCAAACTAAAGCTGTCTACTTAATTTTAGACTGCCACAGCATGCAAGTGTGGACTATGCAAATAAAACTTAAATAGGTTAGTTAATACTAAGCAAATTAAAACTTAAACATTTTAATCCTTATATTTTTATGTTAAAAAAATCAAACAATAGGTTAAATACTTGAATCAAACACCATTGACTCGAAACTGACCGGGCTTGCGTCTAAATTTCGACGGCTTGTCAGAAAAGTATTGTAAGACTTAGATATTAAGTTGCACATACATATATATCAGGTATACCTCAAAACTTGAAAACAAGATTGTACAACCAGTGCGTGTTGCCAGTGATGACCTATGGTACTGAGACGTGGTCCTTCACTGCTGGCCGGATGAGAAAGCTCAAGGTAGCTCAGCGAGCTATGGAGAGGGCTATGCTCGGAGTTTCTCTGCGTGATAAACTTAGAAATGAGAATATCCGCAGTAGAACCAGAGTGACCGACATAGCCCAACAGATTAGTAAGCTGAAGTGGCAGTGGGCCGGCCATATAGCTCGAAGAATAGACAACCGTTGGGGAAAAAAGGTTCTCGAGTGGCGGCCTCGTACCGGCGGACGAAGTGTAGGGCGTACCCCTCACTAGATGGAGTGACGACCTGGTAAGATATGCAGGAAGTCGATGGATGCAGGTGGCTCAGGACCGTGCTTTGTGGCATTCCTTGGGGGAGGCCTATGTTCAGCAGTGGACTTGTGAAGGGCTGTAATGATGAATGACATACATATATCAATCACATTGGCAAATTAATTACTTCTTCTTCTTTAATTACTTGGTGATAGGACTGCTTTTTTGCCCAGGAGTCCGACTGGAAAGGAAACACTCTCATAGTTATTTTAACAGCCACGGTCTGAAGGGTCTATACTCTTGATCTCTATAGAGCCAATATGATTACAGGTTTTGAGGCATTCCATCTTAGTCCTTAGGGTTGACCATGAAGCAAATACAAAGAGGTGTTGTAATTAGATTTCACTATGTAACAACGCGTGACAATTTGCCCCGCCCACTTTTCTATCTACATCTACCGATAAGTAGTAAAACTACTCGGATCATTCCATATCGATGTTGCAATGTAGTTTAGCTATCTTGACGATAGATGGCGGCCTGTTCACAAAATGATTATACACTATAAAAAAATTTTTGGCGATTAAAATTTCTTTATGTCTGAATGCAAAACAAATTTCAGCACCATCGTATGATTATTTTATAAATATTGTACTTTATATTTTTAGTTCATATGACACAAAGTGTCGCCATCTAGTGTCGAATATATTTAATTATATTTGAAAGCCGATGCAAAGAGATTTTTCTAGAACTATTTTAATAAATTAGGTGAAAAATTATTAACAAATTAAATGTGATGCCATCCATAGCATCAGAGTGTCTATCTGAGTAGTTTTTACACGATAAAACACAACACTTCATCTTTTTCTTCTTAATACTACGAAAATACACCGATTTGCGATTTTCAACACATAAGCGCACAAAGCCACGCCCACTATGAATACGCCTACATAGAATCACAGTGCACAGTTGCTTATGCAGTCTCCTCTTTGTATTTGCTTCATGGGGGTGGGAACGCACTGTAGCCACCTTTATTTGAAATGGTTGCAGGTGTTCACGGGCTAAAGTAGCTACTTACCATCAGGTGGAAAGAAAGTTCGTTTGTCACTTCTATTTAATTTAAAAAATCGCCAGTCCGTAAATCTCCGCTACTGTACATGGGTCTCACCTATTGTAGAAAGGATGTCAGATGTAGAATACTTTGTACAGTGGCTGTTTGTACAGGGTTGCTGTCGCCCGTAACTAGTAGAGCTCTAAACCCCGAAGTATTTTAAATTCATAAAATGGGTAAAGTTAACTTATCTATGTATATACATAATTTGATGTTTCTATTTTAATTCTTTTTTGATGAATGAGTTTGCGAGTATTAAAACATGTGCCATAAATACCCAATATTTTGAATGTCTTGACTTAGAAGCTTGAATTTTTTTCACCTCCAAGGGACCGTTGATTTTAGTATTTAATATTAATTTTAATTTGATACCTTTACCCATTCCTGAGAAAAAGAGCCTTGAGGGACGGACAACAAAGAATTCCTATAAGGGTCTTATAGGACTTCTTTGTTGTCCGTCTTTTTTTCTTTTGATGTACGGAACCCTAAAAAGAACCAAGGGTGAACTGTTGTTTAGTGATGGAAATAAATAAGACGATGGCATCTGCCCAGACCCAATTCTAAGCAGAAAAGAATCTTTTCCATTTACTGTATCTGATACTATTAACTATAATTAATATGTAACATCTGCGGTTAATATACGAGTTCGGAGATGTCATCGTGAAATTGAAATTAAGCCGCAAGAGATAATTCACGTTTATCAAACATGTAGTATAGGATTAGAATAAACGTTATGGTTTTTTACTATCGAGTAAATTAGGCCGATTTTCAATCGCTATAATACGCAGAAACTTAGTTGCATTTTATGTTGATGACATTTGTGAGCATGGACCTTGGCGTGGACTCAGAAAAATAGCATTGGAATAATTATTTTTTGTTACTACGTCATAGACTATAAATATGGGTTTGTCGTCATCATCATCATTATAGTTCATTACAAATATACTGCTGAATGTAGGTCTACCACATAGTCAGAAAGTACGATCCTGAGCCACGTGCATACGACTTCATGTACGAGGTTTCCACTCGATAACCTTTCTTCCTCATTGGTTGTCAGTTCTTCGAGTTATATGGTCGTCAATTTTCGACTTCAACCCATTGATCCGCTAGGTTATATCAGTTATTCTTGTTCTTTTGGGGATATACTTGGTATACCTTTCTCTCTACGATCAGTAATGAAGGATCACGTTTCGTTTTCGTAAGTCATCACGGCAACACGCATTGGCTGTATACATTTGAAGTTGTTGAAATCGGTCCTATTTTTAACCGACTTCAAAAAGGAGGAGGTGATCAATTCGACTTTGTTAGTTTTTATGTGTGTAACCTCATAACTTTATTCTAGGTGAACCGATTTTGATGGTTCTTTTTAGAACTAAGTTCTTTATCCGACTAGGCTAGACGAGAAAAAGTGTAAGATTTCTTTCTTTTTCTTCTGACGTAGTGTAGACGGCCTTGGCGGTTATAAAGAAGCGAGATTGAACAATATCAACCTCCCTTGCACTTTTTCTTATCTTGCAATGAAAGAAATATTATTTTATTTTAAATGATGCTTAATTTTAATAGATGTTAGTAATTTATTTATTTGTATTTTTTAATCAATAATATAATACGTTTATCAATAATAATATACTACGAAAGGAACTTCGCTCCAACCGAGTGTTCCACGACACTCACGTATGATTTTTTATTTGAAAGCTGGTGCTTCACATGTGATCCCACATAAATTTGATGACCAGTAGTTTCTGAGTTATCCTTAATAATTTATATTGAAGTCGGTAGTACAAAATTTTTAATTTTACTGCTTGTAATTGAAAGCCTATTTTTTTTGTTTTTAAAAGGATGGATGTGTGTGTGTTTGTGTGTGTGTGTGTGTGTAGTGCATCGTACATTCGTACGTTTGTAAATTTTTTTCGTTTCGCATATTTCGAGTACAAATCACGATATTATCGTTTTTAAACCAATTCCATTCGACGTCTAATTATAGACATTTTGATTCCATGCTTACATATCTAATTACATTTCATTATAATCGAATCTGTTTTTTAACAAATAAAATCGAACTTACAATTGGTCACCAACTGAAAAGTAAATAATGAGACTTACTTAACTTATGTTTTTTTATTTTTTTTTTTTTTATTTTTTTTTTATTTTTTTTTATGTAAGAGAATTAATATTCTCACGGCACATGACATCAGCAAAAAAATAAGCTTGTTATCCAAATATCCGGCACCGAGACACTAGAATAATTTTTGTAGGTATATTTTTAGAGTAATTCCATATATGTATATATTAACAAGATCTGATGTTACTTGAGATCGAATTAAATTTTTTTTATAATGAGGCGAAAATCCATCACTCCATTACAATCCATGGCGTGGGTGGCGTAAAAGGCAACCATGGGAAATGCCATAACCATTTCATTCGCCATTGACGTACAATACCAGAAAAAAAATTAGTGACTTCATGCTTTAGGAGATAGACCTCACTTTTTGGGAGGATTGTAGCTTGAATTCAAATTGGCAGCCTCCCCTCGATAACACTATTATTTATTTATTTATTTATTTAACTTTTTTGAACCTTATAAAATATATAAGTACAAAAGGCGGACATAATGCTTAAAGCATTCTCTGCCTGTCAACCTTGAGGAGTGGAAAAACATCGAAGGCGGTTATTATAATACATAACAGTACAGAATAAGAAATATAATGAATTTAGAAATTATAGCATATAAACATAAAGGTAAAAAAAAATACATATACCATACATACATATATATATATATATATATATATATATATATATATATATATATATATATATATATAATATTATATTTATTATATTATTATTTACAAACCACATACACACATATATATATACACAAATTCACATATAAATACATATATACACACAAATATACATATATACGTAAAAAACATATTATGATGAAATTAGCTATTAACACAGATTAACTAAGATGATGACGCCAACTTAGGAGTTCTTTACGACTTTCAGAAAATGTTCTTTAACATACTTTTTAAATGTTACTTTGTTGGAGCGTTGTCTCAAAGTTTCAGGCA